TACACCCATCACTGCCTGCTCAAATGACAATTATTAATTAAAATTTCTGTATTGTAAACAATTAACATAATATTTGCGGTTAGATAGAGTATACAGTTTTTATTGATCTTCATGATTATGCGATTACTTTCGCGCATAGATCGATGCATTAGCTTATTTCCTGCGATCTTCTGAACAAGGCTGCAATCCCAATTTATTTATATTATATTATTATAATTATATAATATTTACTTTGGACCGAACTTCAGGCGAGGCATTGGTACATCCATCCATTTATGTTTATAGGGTATAACAATAGCAGGCAACACGACAACGACATCAAATCAAATTCAAAAGTAGCCCCAGAACACAACCGGCAGGTGCAATGCGGTGGCAGCTCCAGCAATTTATGGGGCAAGGGTTTCCTAGCGGGGCGTGGGGTTAAGGCGGCTGGCTGGAATTGGAGCTGACTGAAACAGACTTCATTGTTCCCACAGTTTTTCGAACGTCGCGTCGCCGGCGTCAACCTAATAGACTTTTCACGCTTTGGTTTTAAATTGAGGCGCTGATTTTTAGCAGCTGATATTTTTACTTTGGTTTTTATTTTTTTTTATTTTTGTTGAGCTGCTCGATTTATTTGCCTGAAGTTTTGCAATTCGAAAAAGTTTACCAAACAACTGACAGGCCAGCAGATAGACAAGTAGGTTTTGCCAAAGGGTAGGGCACCAAAAAGTTTGCAGCTTAAAGAGTTGAAACCAATTGGCATCGAATTGCATCGACTTGAGTTGGGCTTAGTTGCCTAGAGTCCAGTTGATATTTGTTATTAATTGCTGGGCGCTGGGTCTAAAGGGTTGCCAAATCCACGTTGTTCCTCTAGATATACTTTTTGTGTGTGTGCTTTCCTGTCCCCTGGCAAGGAGCTCTGCCAGCAGCTGCCATTGCAATTTGTTTTGGCAATACAAACATTGCTTTTGCTTTGGGCAAAAACTTATAAAACAAATCGCATGTGCAGGCTGGCAAGAGTGGATTTTGTAGATTTCTCTGGTCAATGAACTCCACCAACCCCCTGGATGATGGAACCCGAACGACCACAGTCAATGCCTAAGGCATTCCCGGGGCTACGCCCGACTGACCAAATCAAGTTGGCAGTTTAAGTGCAGTGCAAATTGCTGAGACGCTGTAAAGACGCCACCGCCCTCAAACCCACGTACTCCCAGTCCTTTCCTATCCCAGCCAAGGGTTGTTCCATTCTGAAGTGGGCGTTGCCCCCACGCTGGACTATGCAATTTGCACGCTTATCAGTTGCCGCATTGATTGGAATTGTGCTCGCATATTTATGCAAGCCGCCGCTTCCGACAAGCGCTTAGTTTTATGGACTAAGCAGAACTCCAACCCAAGCACAACGACAACCATTGACCACGGCCTGAAATGACCAGACAAATAAACAAAGATGAAGCACTCAGATAGAAGTACTGAAGTCGGAGTACCCCGAGGTTGGGCGCGTTCTCTAATTGTGAGAATTATTGCTGGGTAGGGCAATAAAAATGAGTGAGAAATTTACAAAAAACTCATTAGTCATTCAAATAATTGTCTTTGTTATGCTTACACATATTAAGCTAATGTTTGCTTATTATTATTTAAGCAAATTATTTTTTAGCAAATATTTGTTTAAATATATATGGATACTCATTTATTCTATTGTTGCTTACAAACTCTCCTGGCTAAATTAGTTTCATGTCGTTTTTAGTAAAAAACTCAAAGCATTTTGGCATTGTTAATATAATAATGATCAATGAATTTAGAAAGTGTTGTTTGTAGCAGGTTCAGTTATTTAGAAACAACTACAAATGCATTATTTAACAAATTCCACGCACTTACTATAAATATACGATTGTGGTAAACGCGTTAGGTCGCAACTATTTTCATTGGTATTTTCAAATTGTTTAAGTAGTTCTCTATAGAAAAACTAGATATCACGTGCACTGGCTACTTTACTACAAAAAAAAGCTCATAAATTCCTCCAACATTTGCCAAATCAGCAAGCATAACATTTTGTAAAATCCATGTGGAGAAATAATTAACTTAAGCTTGCAATTCAGTTATAATTCAGTTAAAAGAGCTCAAATTATTCTATTTATTTTCAAGTGAATTTAAAGTAAACGTTTGTGCGTGTGTCGAGTTTCTAAATTATTTCTGTGCAACAAAATACGCTTCTTTTTATCTGAAAGTTGACGTTTATTTTTATGTCAACTTTGCTTCTTAAAAGTGCTTGAATTCAATTGGTTTATTATAATTTGCATTGCACAACTCTTTCAAATAATCCTCTTTCTCTCTAATCATTGGGAATACAATCAAATTGTAAAAGGCGCATTTTTAATCAAATGAATAGACCCTCGATTTAACCACAAAATTAAACAAAAAACTAAAAGAGTTTTGCGACTTTTATATTTGATTGTATTTTTTTCCCTTTGTTTTTTTAAGTGGCTGCTGCTAGTTGATTGTTGTTAGCGGTAAGGTCAAGGATTATTATACTTCATCATAACTCTATTAAGCGCGTCCCCGGATCTCAGCGGCCCGAGAAGTGCCGCCTGCACATTTGTTTGCAGATTGTGATTATCTTTAACAGCGGCATGTACACAGTGAAAGATTCAGCTGCATTTAGCCACACGAGCTGCCCCACAGCCGTTGCCACGACCACCCCCACTCCCAACCCCTGCTGCCAGTCAGCTCGACTCAAGTAAACTCATCTCAACTCGTGGCTGGTGATAGTTTTGTCTTTATAAAGCCACCGCACGTCGCCGACTTAAAATTTTTACTGATTTTTTTTTTTAGTTTTGTGTCTTGTGTTTGGTGGGAGTTTTAGTTGTATAGTTTTCCATTGCTTGGCATTAAGTAAAAGTCCAATGAAAGCGCCATCAAACAGCAGCAGCAGCAGCAGCAGCAGCAGGCGATACGCGATGAGAAAACGCCAAAGTCACTTAAGAGTTGATGCTTAAAGACTTTCATACATGACGCCAGCGGCGTGCACTTTTAATTCGATTATTAAAAGTTTTGCATTACTTCCGAACACCGAAAAACCAAAACCAAAACTGAAATTTGAAACGAAAATGAAACACGACGAAGACATAAACATTTTGGTATGGTATGCCATCAGCTCCAGTGTAGTGCTCCGCCTTCAAGTCTCGTGCTTTGCCGCTGATGCTGCTGCTGATGCTGATGCTGATGATGATGCGGCAGAAATTAGTGAGGCAGAGGCTCAGTCTCGGGTTATGATTGCATAGATAATGCAGCTTGGACGTTGTCATCTGATGGCGGCGCGTGACAGCCAAAGACGCCCCCTTTGCTTTGCTGCTAGAGTATATCTATGTGTAGGGATGGGAGTAGGGGCGGCAGATGATTGCGTTGACGACGACTGCATCAGGCAATGACGAGTTAATTTTTGCGCCAGCTCATGCATTAGTCGAGCGCCTCAAGGTGGATTGAGAGGGGGCGTGGCAGCATCGCCATTGTATAACACTGCGATGCACTGGCGACATTAAAGCCAAGGAGTGACCACCTCGAGAAATGGCATCGAAAAGGTCAAATCGCGTCGACCACAAAAATAAAACTGGGTGATGTTCATTAGCGTGAAGCTATAAAAGCAGCGGAATGGTAATCTTTGAGAGAAACCAAAGAGAAACTTGAAATAAACCTTTGACTGCACTTAAAACCTGCATTTCCTGGCGTACCCGCCCCGCCTCCCACCTAGTATATCCACCTTTGGCGCTGTGTTCCCATTTGGCCTGTCCTAGGCCTGTGACTTTTTGCTCGATCCCTGGCCATGTTTACATCAGAAACGTGCCTCAAGTGTTCCTGTCACCGCACAAATTGGACATTTATTTGTTGCCAGCGGATAAAAGTTTGAAAAGTGTTGGGAATAGACAGAAAAATTTTGCAAAAAGAAGTAAAAGAAATAAATGCAACGCTGCCATTTCTGTGGAATTATATGGGCCAGAACGTGTCGAGGATTTGGCATTTCATTCGCAACAACAACAACAACAACAACAACAACTACAGCTACAATTGAGGCAATGATGCAGCGTCTTTGTGGCGCCTCCTCAACGAAATATGTTGCAGTTGCTGGCTGGTAGGTTACTGTTGTTGTTGCCCGTCTTTTGTTCAGGGGCGTGCTGCGATCCGCTTAGCTAATTGACGGCTGCCAACTGGTTTGGGGTATACGCTACGCCCACAGATGAATAACTCTTAAGCAGGCCGACAGCACCGGCAGGCGGTTTAACTCAATTATGCCACTTGCCGCACTGCAATTTGTCAATTAGTGCAGCTGCCACATAAGTAGCTCAGGTATTGATTCGCTCTTGTATCGAGCTACAATTGAATGTTGATTCTCGACTGGCGCTTAGGTTTGTTAAAGTTAAGTCTATAAATTTATTGACATATTCTGTGCATAGTCAAGTTGATTTTCTTTTCTCTAATTGAAACTTATATGATAAGAGCTAGAGATAGCCAAATATTTTAGAAAATTACGAGGTTCTGGTTTCATTCATAGACAGAAAGCCATAGAATTTAGGTCTTATTCCCATAGAATAGTCACATCGGATCCTTTAGTCTTAGATAAAGAATGAATTGCAGCATGTTGACAATTCTTGAATTTCACAAACGTAAGCGATATATTTCTGATTCTTAGCTGTTCACATTCTAGATATAAGCCCGTTCTAACTCCTCCGACCTTTTTCCTAGATTGCCTTTGCTTTTCATATCTCTAACCTATATCTGATTTTTCTCTTCCAGAATTTTCTTGCTGCGAATGCGCAATGCTGGTGGAATGCCCCACTGACAGCCGCGACACGTGCTCTCAAATATGCCGGACATGTGGCGCCGGGAATGCTGCTGGTCACCGCTGAGCCGTGCGCTTTGGAGGTGCTGCGCGGCGCTTTTGCGCGCAGCGTGCTGAAGCCGCCGGCCACCTACATCATCAACTCTGTGGGTGAGTCCAGTATTTAAGTCTAGTTATCATGGCGTTAAGGTTATTGAATGTATAAATTTGTTGTACGTTTTTTGATTATCAAAATCAAAAAAAAATATATATATCCCTGCTGCTGTACCAGAATGTTCGGTGAGGCAATAGAGGATAGTGCGAATTGTTCAGTGAATCGCGATCGGCAGCTGGAAACCAATCGCTTGCTCTTCTGGTGTCGGCGACTGAATATGATGCCCGACGAGGTGCAGCAATTGTCGCTGGAGGAGCTACAGGCCCGCCATTTGTTGGTGCAGCAAGCGGAAGGAGCTCATGAGCGGCGCATGGACCAATTCAAGCGCTGGCAAAATCTCAACCAGTTGCGCTGGCTCATGTACGAGGAACAGCGCAAATACAATGAGAAATGTGGCCAACAGGCGCTGGGCGTCTCCATCTGGCAGATATTGTCCTTGGCACAACAAGAGCTGGAATCGGAGTTGCAGATGCCAGAGCTACGCGGCGATTGTCGACGTTTTCCCTCGCCCATGTCAGTCATGGGAACTACCCGAGAACCGGGTAGTAATGCTAATATACTAAAGCCGCTGAGACCCATAATCACTGGATTGAGTTCGAGTGAGCCGTGTAGCGCGTGCCCAGGCAACCAATTGGCGGAACTGGAGCCAACACGAATTCCCAGCAAACAATTTGAAGCCGAAGAGCAACTCCAACTCCAGGAGGATCAAATAATGCAGCAAGAGAATCTGTTACAAGTATCATCCATTTCTAGAAATTTCAATCAAGGTCATTCTACCAATGAGAAACAGAGAAGTGTGCATAGCTACGTGTCCAATGATCACCACAAGTGCCAATGCAACCAATGGTCGGGTCAGGAACTGACTCCATTTGTCAGCACACAATTTAATGTTGGGAAGAAGATGTTGCATAATGAGAATCAGCTCCTACACTCACCCTCAAGCTTAAACGGCATTTCCAACCAAATGCATAATATTTCGATTAACAATGACTACGGTTGTCGGAAAATACATGGGATCTTCGATGATTGTCTGTGCCTAGGCAACCGATTGGCGGAATTGGAGCCAACGGGAGTTCCCAGCAAACAATTTGCAGCTGAAGAGGAGCTCCAGCTGATAGAGCAAAAGGCGAAGGAGGATGAAATAATGCACAATGAAAATCTGTTTCAACGATCAGCCATTTCTAGAAATTTAATGCAAGTTGATTTTATCAATGAGAGACCCAGTAGGGAGGTTATCTCCGTGTCCAACGATCGTCCCAAGTGCCAATGCAACCAATGTTCGGAACAGGAACAGAATCGATTTGTCAGCACACAATCAAATACTGGAAAGAAAATGTTGCGTAAAGAGAATCAGCTCCTACGATCATCCCCAAGCTTCTACGGCATATCCAGCTTAATGCTTTTTGATTCGATGGACAGGGACTATGGTAGTCCGAACATATCTGATTTCTCCGATGATCTTAGCATACGCTACGAGTTGGACGATATTAACAGATCCGTTAATCATTGCGAAAGGTTGATGCACATGATATGCGCACCATATATGGAGTCGAGCCCACAGCACAATCAAATGAATTTCTTGACAAGTAGCCAAATTATGAGTAGCGATGTTTCTTTTTTGAGTAGCGTGAAAACTAAGTCTGAGTCCGATCCAGAATCTGAATTTACAATTGATGAATGGAAGAATGAATTAATAGTGCATTCAAACTTTCGATTGTAGTCGTCTATATGATAATTGATTAAATGTTTTTAAGATAAAAGCACCTTTTTGAGACACCTAGTTGGATACTAAATCACATTTTGATGGGACTGCACCGGCTGACCAGTCCGTTGTGGCTCGTTAGCTGTCAATTAAATGGACACCTGCACGCCTAATGCGACACTGCCAACCAGTCCCCCCAGTTTCCCAAAACCTCGGCAATCGTCGTCCGTTTGCCTATTTCACACTGGCTTGAACCTTGTCGTGAACCACGGCTACCAGCCAAATCGATGGCCAACTCATGAATTGATAAATGGCCGGCCAGAGATCGGCGTCGATGGTCGTTGTGGCCGCTACGTTTGCTTCACTTGCTGCACTCCAGCCTTTAGCGAACTCGTTTGAAAATTAATAAGTTTCGATTCGGCAGCCCCAAAGGGGTCGTCCAATACGGTACTGCCTGTTGGCGGTGAATCTGTGGTCAAATTCAATTGAGGAAATATATGTTGCACAAACAGGCATGTTGCTTGGGAGCTGGCGTAGCTGCCACAAAGTTCGCTAGCGGCATGCGGAATCTCCTCCATGTTGTTAATTAACGCTTGCAATGGCGTAGAACCCATTTGCTCTTAATTACCATAAACATGACAATTCCATTCGTAAACAAGCATGCAAGCAGTGCACGGAGCAAGCAGTGCACGCATTACATTATGCCTAGCAACAGACAAGGGAACATCTGGCTAGCAACATGTTGACAACATGTGTTAGCAACATAGATATGTTGCAATGCCACTTTCAAGTGGGATTAGATCCAGAAGTTGCTTTAAAAGATGTAAAATGCGTACGTTTATTTGTAGCTTCCACGGATCATAATTGACAATTATCGTTGGCTTTGACAGCAAAGCTACAACAACATAACAAATTGCAAGCAAAACAATCAATCAACGGCAATTTCTCGCTCAATTAGACAAAAAACATGCCAAATAAAAGAAACAAAGAAACCAACAATAGCAACAGCAAAACGAGAAAATAAAGTAACGAAATTAAATTCAATTTCGTGTTAAAGTGGCAAATGCAAAGGGGCGCAGGCTGTGTGCGAGGGGGCTATGAGCAGGGGGCCCATCAGACATTTGCCAATTTGACAGTGGAATATCAAAATGGCAAAACAGACAAATGATCATTTGTTGATGTTGCTGTTGTTGTTGTTGTTGTTGTTGTTGTTATTGTTATTTAGTTGAAAATGCAAAATAGCTGGAAAGCAAGAAAATGATGCAGCTATTGCCGAAGTTTGGGGCAGACTGCGACGGGAGGACGAGGGAGTTGCTGGTAGCTGCCTCCAGCTGTCGGTAACTATGATTGTGAATAAAAAGACAAACGTTAAGAGCTGAGCCGCAAATCAATTTCATCACGATTTCTCGTTGAGATGTTGCCCCGTTGAAAGTGAAATGTGGCCATGACAGTGTTTGTTGTTATTGTTGCTTTTGCTGATCGGTCGATAATCGCAACTTAATATTTGAGACATTAACAAAACAAATCGCTGCAAAAACAGTTGCAGGCAACATTTCTCACACAAAAAAAAGTAAGACATAATGGCATTTCATTTAAGAATGCCGCACCGTTAACTGATTCTCTTCCTCTTCGTTTGATTTAGCCATGAGTCAATTTCACGCTGACAGGCCAAGTGCGAGAAGAGGTTAACAAACCCATCGTTAAAGAATTCGCCAAAGCGTAACCGGAGCAACCAAGTGCGCCAATATCGAGTCCACATCAGCCAGCTCTTGAGTTCATATTAATGCTATCGCCTTCGCCTTCGCCGTCGCCGTTGCCGTCGCCGTCGCCTATCGTACATCATTGTCTTTGGAGCCCAATGCAAGTTCATCATGCTCGCCTGAACAGCCAAAAAGTGGCAGAACCAGCGACAAAGTCAGTGCCAGTGCCAACTCCTCCTCTTCGAGCGTTGCCGAAGCGATTATTGTAATTTTATTGTTGTTCGTTGTTTTCGTTGTTCTCGTTGTTCTCGAAAGCCGCTTCCCGACTGTGACTATGACTTTTGCTCTAACAACCCGCTGATTGCCTCTGCTGACTGCCTTTAATGAGGTCAACCCGTTTGTCTACGGGTTTGGCTTTGGCTTTTATAAGTGGTTACGCTCCAGAGCTTTGCCATTTTGACTGGGAAAGTGTTCTCGCCCGCTAAGAAAGCATCACTTTGGTCTATTCTCGGCATTGTTTCAACAAATTGCCAGCTAACAATTTCACACAATCAGTTTTCCTGGCCAAGACGGACAGTATCGGGCGCATCTACTGCCAATATACAAGACCTAAAGCATAAATGCTCACATAAGCTGAAATTTCTATAAAATTGCTCGCATTTACTTTTGGCCCTATTGCACAACAGGCCAACAGGCACATTATAAAAAAAGGAGTTTTTATTTTGCTAGGTTTTTTTTTTTCTTTCTTGGCAACGAATATCGACAGCCAGTTCCAGGTTCAGGTCCAGTGCCCCGAGACTACACAAAACTCATTGACCTTTAACACAGCCGGTGGCAGCGGCGGCGGCGCTTGGCAAGAGATTTCAGACAAAAAGTGTCGCCAAGAGTTTATTTTTTTTTGGCCATCATTGTCGTCGTGTTGCTCCTTATTTGCCAGCATCGCTGGGCGCTGTGCTGTTGTTGTTGCTGTTGGTTTTCGTGTTGCAACCACGTAAATGTCAATTTGCATTTTGTTGTGCCTCCGTCGTGCTAAACTGAAGCGTTGCATAAACAGCAGCCAACAGCAGCCTACATCAGCCCCTGTTGCAGTTGCAGTTGCAGTTGCGCCGTCGCCTTGTTTTCAATTTGTAACTGGCCTGAAATATTTTTATTAACCGACGGAAACAATTAGCGTCGCCTTGCAACAAAAAACTAAACTAACCAAAAACAACAAAAATTGCGCATATATAAAAATTGGTGGCATGCATATAGCTCGGACAGGCGTATCTTTTCCTTAGCGGGACTCTGCTGCCGCTGCTGCGGCTGCGTGGCCTTTTTCCCCTTAACAAAAAGTGGAAATTAAAAACGCGCAAAAAATATTTCAGACACAAAATCGTGATTGTCGTTTGCCGCTAGACATTTTTTGACTGCAACTGCAACTGGGAATGCGACTGCGCTGCCTGTCGACTGCTCTACATGACGTTGTCGTCGAGGCGGGAATGGAGAAAAGCTTATCCAAAAAAAAAAAATAAATATATTAATGCTCATTTGCGCTCGCCAGGCCATGGAATTGCGTAGGCGGCAACATATTAATGGGGTCAACTAAGGCTCAAGACTTGTCATTGGAAAGCTGTGGAGATTTCTTAATGTACCCCTATCTAACATATATATGAGAGTTTGTCCTGACTGACTGATTGGTGATCAAAGCACAGACCACACCTTGAGAGTAAGGACGGGGATTTCTGCAAATGGGGAAGAATGTTGATCAACGATTATTTGAAAAACATTTAGAACAAACCAGTCATATAATTGGGTTAAGCAGGCGTAAGCCTGTGTGTGCGCCGCACTTAAAAACGGCAGGTCGCTGGTTCAAAAGAGAGAAAGTCTTGCTTCTAACAACAATTAATGTCAAAATCTTTGTTTTATATGAAACATAACGTAAGAGCTTTAAGCAGTACGAAGCTGTGATCAGATATTGAGCTATTCAGCACTTTAAAACTATTTTTTAGGCATTTTTTTAGCTTTTGAGTTATTCGTAAAATCCTCATCAACAATATCACTGGCGAGCTTTTTGTTGCATAGTAGAAGACGAGCTTAAAAACCTGCTTGCGCACCTTTTGGGCTTGGCCATTGGCTTAATAAGCAAGCACATTTACTTACTTACATTCCACTGAAAAGAAATCAAAACTTTAAGCTGATTAAAAAGCGCTGTAAGCAAGCTTTTAAATACTCTATCTTTGAGTACTTAAATCTGAATGCAGCATTGCCCAAAGAAGGAGAGAGATCTATTTCCACCGCCTCTATCCCCTCGCCTTAAAACGATTTGTATGTGTTTTTGGTGAAAATTTGTTCACTTAATCCAAAAGCTGATAAATGCCTGCGAGGCGTTGTCTCTGGCACCACCCCGTTTGCTGTTTGCCAATCGTGGCTTGCCATTTGTCGGCTAATGCAATTAAAATTAATAAACGAAAATCAAACGATTCCCCACCAACAATTATCAATTGCAATTGTAATGCGGCTTTTTGATGCTCACTTGTTGATTTCGCGTTTTTTTTGTTGTCTTCTTTTTTATTTTTTGGTGATTTTGTGTTTATCGTTTAAGGAAGTGTTAATTTATTTGCTTCTCTCTTTCTATTGATTGCGCCCCCCAGAGGAGAAAAATAGCGAAAATAAAAATGAAAAAAATAATAAATTGCCACTGATAGCTAAAAATTATTGATTATTTCGAAATGGACAGCGTTTAAATGTTTATGGTGTCCGCAGTCGTCGTTGTTGATTCATTGTTGTTGTTGTTGTTGCTGGCTGAATCGCTGGCGGTTATGAGATCAAACAAAACAACGCGAAAATGTGCCAACAACACGATAGGTGCGCAGATTTCCTCTTTTATTTTAAAGTCTTACGAATCGGTTTCTTTTTATTTTCTTTTTCTAATAATACAACAACAACAACTTAAAGGCAACAACTGCCACAGCAACAATAACAGCGAGGGAGCGAAAAAATCATACATCAAGATTATTGTAACTCGCGGCAATTGCATCACAGTAATGGCCAACAACAACAACAACAACTTCAGAGGCTGCGAATCGGCTGGTAAATAAAAAAGAAAAAAAAAATTGGAAATCGCAAGAAACATTTTTCATTTGCATAAAAATGCATGGCACAAAACTACAAGCGCTAAAAATGTTTGCCGCATGTTGCACAGCGTGACGAGGGGTGGACACCGCCACGAGGGTCGATCGGGAGGGTGTGGGAAGGAGGGGGTGGGGGGGGGGGGGTGTCGGTTGTCTGGTAGTGGGAGGTAGACGAAACAACCTTCAAGCTACAAAACACTTGACTCCATTGCAAAGATGCAGAGTCCGTGGCG